AAATTGTGCGTTTTCTCCAGTATCAAAGCTGTAATTTGAAAAAATGTTTTATAGTCATTTCGCTCCTGTTCTTAACTTTGTGGAAGTGTAAAGTTGGGGTTTTCCATGATTAAGCGATTATCGTGCTTAGTAGCTGTAAAGATGAACAGTAAAACTTTAAACTTAATGCCGTCAGGTTTTTGAAGTAAGGCTGTAGAATGTGCTCTGATTTGGGGTGCCGTAAATTACTGATGAACAACTGAATCTTAAATAAGTGTTGGGTTTATTTACAAATAGGGATACATTCTAATTACAATTAAGGGAATTGGGAAGGGGATTGGAAGGGGTCAGGATCCTTGAGCTAGCTACACCATTCTCTCTCTCATTCACACATGCCATGGGTTTTTCTCTGTTCTCAGAACACGCCTCTCCAGCAGGTCTCAGCGTATCACATTCTTGATTGCAGAGTTCAGAAAGACTTGTCTTGTCCAAAGGTCTTGCTGTTGAGCTAGGTTAGTGTCACACAGGAAGAAGGTTCCATCATATGCCCCTGCCCCCATCCCAGCACATATGCCTTGTTGACACAGGTGTGGGCAGTAAATACCAGCAAGGGGTCGGGCTTGCCCCAGGACATGATAGTCCTGCAGATCTCCTTGGATCAGTGTCCAGCCCAGGAACCCTTTGATGGTCTTCATTTGCATATCAACAGCCACGGGCAGTTCAGGATATCAAGGAACCTTTCCATCATAGCTGTATCATAGATGTCAATTTTATAGGTTTCAACAAAGGCCTTGCATGGATCCAGAGTAAGTGGGCAACCTCAAATGATGGCTCTATGTGCCTGTATTCTTTGGTCCATGGCAGTGTACAACTTGACAGTGCCACCAAATGTGCATGTATGTAGTACTAGAATCTGAACAGCTGTGGAAGTACGTAAAGTAAAATGTGGAAAGACATGTAATATTTATGTGTACTCACCGCTGAGGGATTCTTGGAAGTCGATGGGACAAAAGTAGGATTGAGATATGACGAGTGGAAGGTGGGGAGAGGCCATATTTGGCGGCATCCCAGATTTAGAGGAAAAGAAGATAACAGGATTTTGTCATTTAAACCTTTCTTTTGGGGGGGGCGTGGCTTGGTGCATGGAGCGGTGAGACGTGTATCGGCTCGTCTCCCGCTCAGGGGCATATCATACTGCAGGCAGCAGCGGCTTTCTCCCCCACGATCACCGGCAATGAGCGACCGGAGGAAGAGGAGTAAGAAGCAGGCTAAGAAGGGGCCTGTGCCGCGGGAATTGACCCGATATTTCGCCCGGACGGCGCCCGCGGCCTCTCACGCTGCCTCCACACGTGCAGCCAAGATGGCGCCGCCGGAGTTTTCTCCAGCACACTCGGACACCCCACACATGGATAGCACTCCAGGAGCATTTCTCAGGCCTCACTCAGTTCACATGAGGGATGGGACATGGAAGCTTACATTAAAGCATTGCCCACCATGAAGGACATTGAGTCCTGCTTCTCCCGCCTCGAGCACACCTATAAAAGGGAAATGTCCACCTTAAAGAAGGACTTGAGCACTAGACTGGAGGATATAGAACAATCCGCAACTGAATTGCGCTCTCATGTACAATTACATGACACCACTCTGCAGGAACATACAGTGCTTCTCCACCAATTGATATATCAGCAGGATGACCAAGAAAACAGAAATCGGCGTAATAATATTCGCATCAGGGGACTGCCGGAGTCTGTTGAACCTGGTGGCCTGGAGGCAGCCGCACAGGCGCTTTTCAATCAGCTCCTAAATAAACCCAGAGAAACCCCCATAGAAATAGACAGGATCCATAGAACGCTGGGGGCTAGGCGTCCTGACAGATCCAGTCCCAGAGACGTGATATGCAGGATCCACTTCTTCAAGATTAAAGATGACATCATGAGGGCTGCTCGCACGCAAGACGCCATCATGTTCAACGGATCCTCTGTCCTCCTGTTGCCGGACCTCTCGGGACATACACTCGCTCTCCACAGGGCTCTGCGTCCCCTACTCGACCTACTCCGCCAACGCAACATCAAATACCGCTGGGGCTTCCCCTTTCAACTTATTGTTGCGCACGAAGGAAAAACAGCCATCTTTAGCTCCCTGGGCGACCTCCCCTCCTTCCTGGGCAAGCTGGAACTCCCCCAGGTTGCCCTTCCGGACTGGCCACTCAAAGCGACCCTCCCCGGCTTTGTATCAGCCTCTCAGTGGAAGCAAAGATCGAACAGACCGGTCAGCCGGATGGAGGCCTCTTCCTCCTCCAATACCTGACTGGGTGCTCATTCACCTCAATACTCTCTTGCCTTAGACGCCTCGGAAGAGACGCGTCCCTCAGGGGGAGATGGATGTCCCCTGATGTTTACCAGTTGAGCCCCGTGTGGG